AGCAACAGTCCATATTTCCGTATTCCTATCTATGCTTACAATGTTTACAATGCAATAGAAAAGATTAATATAAATAAACAAAACATTGCTAACTACATGCAAAAAAAAAAAAAAAACTTTGAACAGCACTCCAAAGACCATAAAATGCAAATGAAACATAGTTCTAAAACATAATCTATGAACAGAAAACTCACAACGTTTTTGAAAACTCACAGCGAGTTTCATGTAAATACTTGCATTAAAACTTGCATTAAAAAAATACTTGCATTAAAGCACAAATAAAAGCACTTCATTTGAGCATGTTATCAGCACAATTTTACACCATTTGTACTCTTAGTCTGTTCTTCCATCTGGGCTGCCACAGCGGATCACTGGTCTGCATATTTGATTTGGCACAGTTTTTACGCTAGATGCCCTCCCAGTTTTATCCGGGCTGGGGACCGGCACTGGGAGCGCACTGTCGTGTGCAACCCCAGTGGCTGCGGTCGGTTCCCTGGCTGGAAATTGAACCTGGGCCGCAGTGGCGAGAGTCCCGAACTACTAGCCTTCCAGGGACTGCCATTGTACTTTTAGCTTAAACCAGACAAAATTAATACACTGTCATCTCTGTTGACACTGTTCATTGTAACATATAAAAAGTAAGAATAAAGGCTCTGTACATTGATTTTAAAATAGCCCATGTTTAATATCTTTTATATATACTCACTGAGCAATTTATTAGGAACACCTACTGATTCATGCAGTTATATAATCAGCCAATCATGTGGCAGTGCAGTGCATAAAATCATGCAGATACCGGTCAAGAGCTCCAGGTAATGTTCACATCAAACATCAGAATGGGGGAAAAAGTGTGATCTACTTGACTTTAACAATGGAAATTGTTGTTGTTGTTGTGGTTTGAGTATTTGTTGATGACAGAGATTAGAAGAGAATGACCAGATTGGTCTGAGCTGACAGGAAGTTTATAGTAACTCAAATAAGCACTCATTAAAACCACGGTGAACAGAAAAGCATCTCAGAACGCACAACACATCAAACCTTGAGGTGGATGGGCTACAACAGCAGAACATCACATCAGGTTCCATTTCTAGAACCTGAGGCAATCATGGGCACAGAGTCATCGAAACTGGACTAATCTTCCCAGGAGATCTGAAATACTCAAACCAGCCCATCTGGTACCAACATTCATGCCATGATCAAAGTCACAGAGATCACACTTTTCCCCCACTCTGCCATTGATGTGAAAAATAACTGAAGCTCTTGACCTGTATCACATGATTTTTTGCATTGCACTGCTGCCATATGATTGGCTGACTAGATAACAGTATGAATGTGCAGGTGTACAGGTGTTCCTAATAAAGTGAACGGCGAGTGTATGTGTGGGTGTAAACGTAGAGCCAGTTTGTGGAATATGGTTTATAAACATCATGTTGTCATGTGACCTCATTTTGTCTACTGTGTGTGTGTGTGTGTGTGTGTGTGTGTGTGTGTGTCAGAGCGGGTATGAAACCAGGTGACATTGTAGTGGAAGTCAACGGGGTAAAGGTGAACACATCAGAAGAAATCTACAATGCAGTACGGACAAGTGACAGCATCAACATGGTGGTGCGCAGAGGTCAAGACCTCCTGATGCTGCACATGACCCCTGAGTTCACAGAATAACATAAACCAGAGTCAGTATTTTGCCTTAAGGAAAAATTGCAGAAGAGAAATATACAAAGAGGAAGATTTAAAAAAATGACGAGGATGTTGAATGTTCTGAAGGGATGTCAGATGACTAGGCTTGAGTGTATGTTAGAAATGAGTTTAAATTAAACTCCGATTTGAAAATGCCACATGCTTGATGGTTCTCGGGATTTATTTTTGCTCAGTTAATGTGGCTTGTTGAAACAGTGATGTGATGGGGCAGATGTGCACAAATACAAATTTTAGACAATATGTTGGAATGACAGATAAAAATGGGAGACTTTAAACACATTGTGAACGAAGTCTAGTAGTTTGCAAAGTTCTGAACAGGTATCCATGTGTAAATGACTTGCACAGAAAGCCATTGAAATGATGTTGTGAGCACATTTCAGCCTTAGAAATGCAAAAAAAAAATTGGTGTGTGTGTATTTGCATGTATTACACTTGTATGAGAAACCCATGTCAACACATCAGTCCACACTTTCTTTCTCATTTCAAATGGTCTGTTCTTAAAAATGGCCCAATTTCCAGCTAGAAAGTTCAGCATGAAGACAAAGAAGGCCCAGATTTTTATCACAGATTTTTGTCTATCCCTGTATATGTGAAGGAGTGAGGTTTAATTCTGTCTTCTGTCGCTAACATACACTTGAACATTTGTTCCTTTAAAGTAGCAGTGAATGGCTGCGTTTAAAACAGTGTTTGAGAAATGTTTCTCATAAATTTTTCAAAAGACCACGAGTGCGCCTAATGCTCCTGTACATCAGGTCTCTCGAGCACACTTTGGCATACATTATGTTATAAATTGATATACCTTTGACTACAAATCTGTTTGGAACAAAAAATAAAAACCTGTTTCAAGCATTAATGAATGCCTTATCTTGCACAATCTACTCACAGGAATGTTCTCTACACAAAAGCAGGTAATGTGAAAGGTCCGGAGCCAGTCAGCAAGATTTCATAAATTAAAAAGCAATTTACTTGGGTACGTATAATTAAAAGTTAAAAAAAAAAAAAAAACAATTTTGTTCGTTCACTATCTTGTGTGGTTCCTGTAGTTAAAAGTATAAATAAGTTTTGTTAAAAAAAAAAAAACCATGAATATGCCACATAATTTTACAATACCCGCAGAAAAGTACATAATGCCTTTAAACCCAGAAATTGGCCTAAAAACATTAATAAAACTTGGTCAGGAAAAAACAAACAAACAAAAAAACATTCATTACTTTGATAAGGTCTGTCTCAGTAAGACCCTCAGTAAGAATGGCATTATGGGAAATATTTTTTAAGATACTGTTCGTTTATGCAATGTTTTGATGACGTTCATATGAAATAAAGCTGTTTCAGCTGAATTATTCCTATGTGATGAAAATACATTTTTCAAGTAGAAGACAACTGTCACAGTTGCATATTTTTTGTATGTAATACTTTAAAAATGCTGTCCTTAAACTTTTTTGGCAGTCAACATTTAGCACCATAAACATAAACTATGCCTGTGGAGTGAATAAATGCATGGTACACACTCTGTGAATCACTAGATTAGGTTATTTTCTGATGATTATTATATCTTGAAGACTAATGCCCATACTGTAAAATGAGGTAAATGTATGATAACTGTGATGTTTTTTTTTTTTTTTCTTTTTTTGATAAAACACTACTTAACAAGCTCAGGATGGCAAGGTCAGAGGTGCTAACACCACGAATGTCGTTGCTGGGATTTCCTTTAGCATTCCCCCTGACAGACCTTGCCAGAGAGATCCTTACTCTGTAACCTGGGTAATATACTGTATGTGATCCAGTCCAAATTAAAAGGTGTAATGTATGAGATGAATGCATCATGTATGGATTAGGAGATCTCATTATTGAGCTGTCCTGGGTATTTCTCAAACTTCCTCTCTGCCTCCTCACTGAAAGCATCACCTGTCAGGACACAGAGACAAAACAATCGGACTGAGTGCAGTCAACTGTCAACATTATTTTCATGCACACACTGTTCAAATATAGACCAGTAGATAAGACTAGCTAAACCAGAATAAAGTCTGCTTGAAATGCCAAAGTGTGGGTACACTGTCAACTGCTCATAGTGACCTTGTCTCTACTGACACGAATGGAAATTACTTTCCTGTGAGGACATCTAGAGTGTCTGTGTCTATTGCTGACATGTACCTACCCCTAATTTTTTTTTTAAGACGGCCGCTGTTAAGCCATTTCTTAAGAAAGCTCTGTTCTGTTCTCAGTAGGAATAATAAGCATCATGTATTTCAGTCTGAGTTCCAGAAGCATCATAGTACAGAATCAGTGCTGGATAAATGACCTACTGCATTTCTTGGACTGTGAATATCTTCTGTTTCAGTAGTGCTGGAGTAAAATGCATCATTTGACACTATTGACCATGTTTTAATGGACAGGCTTAGAAACACATTCGGTTTAGACAACTTCTTGCCTTGGCTCCCTATTATCCCTCTATTTCCAGCCCCTTGGACATGTCATTCGCAAACATAATGTTGGCTTTTATTCCTGTGCTGAAGATACATACACTGTATGGCCAAGAGTATGTGAACACCTGACCATCACACCCATATGTGGACCTTCCCTAAACTGTTGCCACAAAGTTGGAAGCACACAGTTGTATAGGATGTCGTTGTGTGCTGTAGCATTACAGTTTCCCTTCACTGAAACTAAGAGGTGCAAACCTGTTCCAGCATGACAGTGCCCCTTTGCGCAAAGCAAACTCCATGAAGACATGGTTTGACAAGGTTGGAGTGGAAGAATGGGAATGAAGTAGATGAACTGGAATGCTGACTGCGCCCCAGGCCTCCTTGTCCATCATCAATGCTTGACCTCACTAATGTTCTTAAGGCTGAACGGGCAAATCCCAACAGCCACATGGCCACACAGTGTAACTACGCTTATCAGTTTGGCCAGATTCAGTTGCATACCTGTACAAAATGGCTGTAATAGACACAAAAGCTTGAAAGACCAGAAACTTCCTTCCCCTAAGTGATTAAAAAAAAGTCTCCCCACAGTTCGATTGCTGATTACACCCTTGAGCTTGATGGCTATGTGAAAGCAAAAGCTTGGGTCTTAGTGTAACACTAAACATGATTCCCAGATTGACATGAAAGTTGTTGTTGTTGTTCTTCTTCTGGCTGCTGCCGTTAGGGGTCGCCACAGCGGATCACTGGTCCACATATATTTGATTTGGCACAGTTTTTATACGGGATGCCCTTCCTAATGCAGCCCTCCCCAATTTTATCCGGGCTTGGAACCGGCACTGGGAGTGCACTGTCTTGTGCAACCCTAGTGGTGGGAGTCGGTTCCCTGGCCGGGAATCGAACCCGGGCCACGGCAGCGAGAGCACCAAGGCCTAACCACTAGTCCTCCAGGGACCCCAGATTGACATGTAAGTAACATCTCTAAAACTGAGATACAGAAAATATAATCCATGCTAACACAAAATAAGACATACGCTAACCCTATATGACCTAACCAGCCAGTGCATGCTTTCATTACTTCTAGTTTGGACTATTGAATAGTGTTGCTGTTTGGTTTAGCTAGTTCAGATTGCAGCAGCCCACATCCTAACCTGAAAAAAACCCCACAGAGCATATTTTGAATTCAAGCTACAATGGCTGTCTATTAAAATCTACATTGGCTACAAAGCCTTGCTTATGACAGATAAAACACTTTGCACAGCTGAGGAAGGACTACCATTAATTCACAACTCTGCTGAATACGTTTTTACCATATTGCTTCTAAACTCTGGAATAGCTTATCTAGCATATCTCTTTAGTGAAGCTTTTAAGTTATAATCTTACAGTTGTTGTTGTCATTGTTGATATTGTGTTGTCATTGCGATTGCTATTATGGAGTTGTGTTGTTTCTTTTATTGTTGTCTTATACTGTTGTAGCGCCTTGAGTGTAAGAAAGGTGCATTATAAATAAAATTTATTATTATTATAGTGAATATTAGGAAAATAAGGTGTTTGTAAATCAAAAAAAGTTTAACTTGGCCTGTTTTTTGAGTTCTTTTATCTTGTTAAGTATGCTTTTCATGATGTGTAGTAATTCTTACAGACTTATAGTCAGTTCAGTCAGTTTGACCTAACCTCAAGTCATTAAAAAAAAAGGAATATATAAAAAGACAAGGTAAATAAGAAGACAAACATGGATTCAGAGGTGGTTGGGAAGGTGAACGGTTTGTCTGCGAACTTTGTGTGTGTGTGTGTGTGTGAAAATTGATTAGCAATATCTGGTTTCAAATCAGGGTTAAATCATACTGTGAACTGCTGGCACTGTTTTCAGTTGTACAAAACAAATTCTGCATCTACATCATGAATGTCTGTATGTTTGTGTACAAAGCTGTGAGTATAGAACTCTCACCGGTATGACAGTTGTGAAACCAGATCCTGTGGCCATCATATTTGCAGTTGCATTTCATGGCATTATTTGTGTAGTCACTCTCAGACACCTCGAAATTAGGATTTATCACAACCTGTAAGGCCAATAATACAGAACACAAACATCACAAATTCATTCCCTGCTGACAGACATTCTGCTTAGACATTAGCCTGGAATAAACAGTGTAAAATTTTGCCACAAGATTTGGCTGCTTGTGAAAGGAAAAATACTTTCATATAATGAATGTATTTAACTACTTTTGTGGCAAAACAGTATTACAATATCCAAAAGCAGACATATCGAAAATCCAAAATTTATGTTGAAAGAATTAAGTCAAACCTTGGTAAATATTAAAATATCAAGAAGCACACTGTGATATGGGTAAAGACTGGTCAGCCTTATTTGTTTTTTGGATTATTCAAAAATCCCAAAATCACACACATAAATACATGGAAAGGAAATCTGTGATTGGTCAGGATGCACATAGCACACAATGGTACATTTAGTTATTTGCAATAGCAAAGGACATATTATTATATGCCCCTATGCATTTCCATAGCACAACGTTTGACCTGCATGATGTAATTTCCTGGTTTGACATCAGTGATGTCGATCCACTGGCAGTCGATGTCATGCCGGTACAGATCCCAGCATCCTACTGTGATACCCTGCTCTCCAAAATTAGCACATTCATAACGCTTGGAAACACCTGCAACATTAACACAAACCAATGTGTCATTAGAGAACAGCTATACAAGCAGCAAATCTCTACACAGTATATATTTGTTTATGTGTGTTTGTGTGTGTCTGCTTGTCTTACCCTCCTGACAGTCACTGTCTTCTAGACAGAAGCTAGCTTTGTGTCCCTCTGCCACCTTGGTGCCATTGACACTCAGCAAGTCATAGTGTGTGAAAATATCCATACTGTGATAATGCCTACAGAACCACACAGTAATGCACATTATGCCTTTTTCTTCTATAATGCATGCACATATGCATGATCTGAGGATACTAACCTCCTTCCAGCCCTATAATGCCAAAACATCACACAGCTATAGTTACCCATGGCATGCATGCCAGACCCAGGAGTGGCGTCCAGCTTTAGGCCTGAAATCAGCGCGACCAATGTTGTGGATCTGCGAAGAGAAGCGAAGCAGGCGGCGGTGGCCGTAGGGCCAGTTAACTTTCGCAGCACTTTTAGACAGACAGTCTTCCTCTGCAGCGCAATACAGCATGTGCAGCGGACGGTCCTCAATATATGCCGTCTGCTGCACCAGAGGTGCATTCAGAACCAGATCAGACGCCGCTGAGGAAACACAGATACACACCATCACATAGAATAAGCACAAACACTTGGTGTGTGCTCATATAAAGTGTGAACATGTATAGCATTAGACTGAGACTGGGACTTCTTAGGCTGTATATGTAGTGTATTTATATTGTGTGATTTACCTTGATCTAGTGATTTGATTTACTGTTATTTTGAGCTCAGTTTTATTTACTGTAAACCTACTACAAATCCTCATAGTTTTATTTTTGATCTGTGCAGCCACCATCTTTCATACCTTTTAATGTACTGGCTGCATTGTTAAGAAAGCTTACGAGAGCAGAGTAGGCATTTTGTTTTGCAAATGAATTGTTACAACACAAATGAAGTGTCATACAAAAACCCCTGTGCTTTTTGCATATCTGTGTGTTTGTGTGTGTTTTTATGGTCACTCACTCTCTGAGCAGATAACCCCTGCGGTGAACCGTGCGGCTGTCTTCTGGCAGGTGACAGTTTTGTGTTGCTGGCACTGGCTGAGGGCCAGTTCGTCTCCCGTACACTTCACACCACTCATCACCATGTTAGTCACGTTACTGCCATCCCAGTACCACGTTTCCTTAACAGCCACCACACAAACACAAACACTGTACTGCTGATTTCTTGAGGGCTGAATAAAAATCAATATTGATGTGTGTGCTAAGGTGAGAGGGACAGAAAATACTGAAGAGTAACTTTTAGCTTTTAGTATATTGTTCTGTGTATTCATTGTCCTGCACTGGTCTGACACTCTTGTGTATCTGCACTTTATGTAGTCTTGCGTACTGCTCTGTGTTGCACCATGGTCCCGAATTAATGACATTTCGTTCTAATGTATACAAGCTATATAGAGGAATGACAATAAAAACTCACGTCTTGACTTACTGCATATGCACACTTCCTGTCTGACTGAATTCTGAAGACTTCAGCAGTAGATTTCAGTAATAAAGAGAAGATCACAGAACAATGGCTCTTAATATCTGTGCTTGGGGCTCTGTGCACTACGCATTTGTGTTCAACAGAAGCATTGGGTAGAGATTAGGCCAAAAACTGGTGTATTCATTTAAAATGTAGACTAGAACCACTGTAACCTACTGCAGTCTTGTAACTATTTGTACTATGTGGATCACTGCATATCATGAGTAGGAATTATTGCTTTATTGTCTTATTGTGTGTGTGTGTGTGTGTGTGCGCGTGTACTCACAGTAATAGCATGCATGCTGAAACCCAACCCTAGCTGTCTGCAAGCCACCATGGCCTCTTTTGTGGTCCAGCCCTCACTGCACACACTGCCCCAGCGCTGACCCACCCGAACCTCCACTCTCCCCTCATACTCCGACCGCCCACCCACCAGCCGGACCTGTACACACAGCCTACAGCACGTCATTACATACACCTTTTTTTTTACATCACATAGTCGCACAAACTTTCCTGTCTGTTCCTGCACTACCTACAAGCTGCCCTTCTCTTGTCTATGTGTTAGTGTTAATGTAATGTCAGTGCAATGCAGTGATTTATAATATGTTAAGCATCAGTAACTCTGATGGATCTCAGGAAAAGGTTTATGCAAAGCAGACAGTAGGCAATAGGTGCCACTGTTAGTGGTAGTGTCCTACTTTCAGGCCGTGGTTGGCGTATCCAAGGCCCAGCTGTCTGCACACCACCATGGCCTCTTTGGTACCCCAGCCTTCTCCACAGATCAGACCCCAGTGTTGCGTTCCATTAGTGCTGGTGCGCAACACTTCCACACGGCCCTCATAACTTGTACGACCGCCTGTGATACGCACCTGATCAGGAAACAGCCCAAGGAGAAAAGAAGCAGGAAGGGTCAACTTCCTCTACAGCAGCACGGCCACACAGGAAGGAGGGTTAGGAAAGACTTCGGAAATGCAGATGCACTGTGGGTAATGTATGCTAGGGGACTGACTGTAACTTAATATGCATTTATCTTCAGCAGGGCTTGAAATTGAAGTTCTGCCCACCTGCCAAATTAGGATAAAATTTGGAATTGGTAGGTGACATTGTATGTATTTTACGCACACGCATTTGTCTCCTCGTGCATGCACATATTCTTCACCTTTATCAGTTTGATCACTCTCCTGCTAATCTATCTCATAGCCAGATGTCTAAATTGTGATTTCTGTACAGTTTATCAACCCTTAGTGTGAAAATAGTTACACTGTTTAACAGTGACAGAACAGCGAGCACAGGAGAATAAACTGTATTTACCAAAAAATCACAAAAAAAAAACCCCCAGTGTATTTACCAAAAATAAACAAAATTAAGGGGCCACAAGGTCATGAGTGGCTTGGTTTTGTCAAGACTAACAAAAACAGTAAGAATGCCGTCTGTTCGCAAGTAACCACCACAAAGTTCATTTCAAGCCCTGGTGAAAACTGTTTCATGCCTATTACAGCAATGTTTTCAAACGTTTCATATAATTGGCCAATATTATGGTGTGGAGTATTACATTGTTGTTGTTTCTAATGGTTATAGGTATTTTGGCAGTACATTACCCATAAGAGCATACTGTAGCTTATCAGATGTCGTATCAAAACGTATTGCAGTAGGAAAGAACTCTGCTTAATTATGTAAACCCAATTTGCAAGAAATACACTGCCATTCTGCAATGCTTCAGGTACAAATTGCAAGTTGCAATCTTAATAATAATAATAATAAGTACAT